TCTTAGCATGTAGCTGGTGTGTCTTAGATGTAAGAGGTGAGTTCTATTTCTAGGCAAGGGTCTTGAGCAAGAGGTATGGGCAGAAGTGAAACAAATTGCCCAGTTTAGCTTTCCATCATGAAAATCTTAGATTTTTTCAATGCAATCTCCATCTCTGACCTCAAGCCACTCTACCAAGAGCTTCTCTATGCCCTATAGGTTATTTTAATCATGCTTGAGAGGGTAGGAGGTGACTGGTTGCAGCCAAGTTGATGATGTGAAGAGGGCAACCACCATTTTTCTCTTTCTTCACTATTCACATTTGCAACTTGCATTAAACAATGATTTTTTTTCATTTCTTATGCCAATTTCGTGGGAGTTGATGTTAAACATGTCTATTAACAATTTAAACATCAGAAATGAGGCTTAGTATTTGATTAGAATTGATTTGGGAAGCTTTGGAATCAAAACACTCATGTTGAACTAGTTTTGCAAAAGTGAGTTTTTGCCAACTTGTGGACCTTGGTTCTCTCTAACCATGAAGAGTTATGGAACTCACTTTTACTTTTTAGAAAGCCCATATTCCACTTGAAACTGGGTCAAAAACCCTTGTGAAAATGCTGAAAACATGACTTACAAGTCAAGAATTCTTGAAATTTCTGTGTATTTTCCCCCTCTTTTCTTGTTTTTGCTTATAACTCAAAATTCATGCATTTTCTGCTCATGAGTGCATATATCAATTTTGAAGAACTCATTGGGACGCTTCTAATAAGATTTGTACCACTCCATTTGGATGTGTGGTTAAGGACTTATGGCCTAGCCCTTTTCAAAACCCGAATTTCCAGACTTTTCGATTACTTCTCAATTCTTGATTAATTGGTCACCAAACTTCATAATTAGATATTAAATGATGTTGGGAACATATTTGGATTCAATTTTGGGTTAAAACCCTATTGGTCAATGGGTTGACTTTTCAGTCAGATGAACCGAACAATTGAAAACCTCTGAATCGACTGTTGGTGTCCTGGGTTCTCTGAGGCCTTGAAACTTCTTGGGTAGACTTACTTGGGTTATATGAGCCTCATGGAGCATGATTCAAGCTTTGGAACACCCTTTAGATCAAAAGTCAAACTACAATTGACTTTCCCAATCAGAAACCCTAATTAGGGTTCTTGTACTGCACTGTTCTTCTTTCTTGGGTGACAACCTTAAATTGGATTCATTCTTGATCCCTTGTGATATCCTTGATGACATGAGGAATTGATATATGGAGAATCAATCTAAAACTTTGACTGATCAATCTGTTGAAACCCTGATTTTGACTAGAAGAAACCCTAATTCATCTGCATCTTGACAAAGACCAAACTTGAAATAGGTTATGGTTAAATAATCAATGTTTATGCTCCTAGAATGATGATGTGATCTAGGGGTCAACATTTTGGGAATAACACTAGGCACGACAACCTATAAGCTTTGACTCCTTTAGGGTATCCAAGGAACATACATCTCAGAGCTCTAGGTTCGACCTTGTCTTGCCTAAAATAAGCATATGTTAAACAACCAAACACTTTAATTTTGTCGAGACTAGGTGGAAGTCCTGACCATACTTCTTCAGGTGTCTTCATTCCTAAGGCTGTCGAAGGACACCTATTTATCAAATATGTTGCAGTTAAAATAGCTTTTCTCCCAAACACCTTCTTTAATCCCGCACTAACCAACATGTATCTCATTTCTTTCTATAATGGTTTGATTAAACCTTTCAGTCAAACTATTTTTTTGTGGAGTACCTACAGTAGTTATGTGCCTTGCAATACCAGATGCAACAAAATATTTGTCGAAGCCCATTGCAAAATTCAAGACCATTGTCGTTCCTCAACCTCTTGACCTTCCTGTCTATTTGGTTTTTGACCTGAGTTTTCTAACTTTTAAAATTTTCAAGATTTTCATCCTTAGTCTTATGGATAAATACCCATAACATTCTGGAGTAATCATCAACTATGAATAGAAAATACTTTGCACCTAAGTGTGAAAGATTCCTTGCAGGTGCCCAAAGATCAGCATGAATGTAATCAAGGAATTTGTGTGCTCTTTGTTTACCTTTGTTAAACTTCATTCTACAGGATTTTCCAAATGCACAAGATTCACAACACTCCAGCTTTTCGACCTTGTCACCACCCAACATATTTTTTCCGACAATTCGAGCAGGCCTCTTTTACTGACATGGCCAAGTCTCTTGTGCCATAGCTCAGTCTTCGACACAGGTTTCGTGGATGCCACATCTGCTGAACCACTTACAACATCAACCTCAAGGGTATACAAGCCTTATTTCTTCATGCCTCTCAAGATTTCCTTTGCCCCATTGGTTTCCTTTAGGATACTTTGATCTCCTTTGAAAATGTATCCTTTCTTGTCAAATTCACCAAGAAAAATCAAATTCCTTTTAAGATCAGGTACATACATGACATTAGTCAATAGTCTTATTAACTCATCATGGAGCTTGAATCTCACAAATCCAATACCTGTAATTTAGAAGACTTTGGTGTTTCTCAACAACACTGATCCACCATCTTAGTCACATAATTCCTTAAACACGTCTTTGTTTTGAGTCATGCGCCAAGTACACCCTAAATCGATAATCCACTCCTTGCTAGAGTCACTGCTTGAAACTACCAGGATATCAGACAATTCTTAACCATCTTGCACAATGGCTACATTACCATTATCCTTTCCACCATGATTGTTCAGTCGATCAGGGTATACTTTTCTTGTATGATCCTTCTTCTTACAATGATAACACTTAATAATAGGAGCATTACCACCATAAGAATTCTATAGAACTTTACCCTTCTTCTTCTCAAACCTACCATCTTTCTTCAAGAATTTTCCCTTAACGAACAAACCTTCACCAATAGAAGATGGCTTATACTCCTTTCGTTCGTTCAAATTCTTATAGTACAAGGCAGATTGAACATCTTCAAAGGTCAACGATTCTCTTCCATACAAGAGAGTTTCTTTGAAGTAGGAATGAGACTTAGGTAAAGAGCACAACAACAGCAACGTTTAATCTTCATCATCAATCTTGACCTCGATATTTTCAAGATCAATAATCAACTTGTTGAACATATTCAACTGATTAGCCAAGATTTTGTCTTCACTCATCTTGAATGAATATAAAGCTTGCTTCAGGTAGAGACAATTAACCAACGATTTCTTCATGTACAAACCTTCAAGTTTCATCCACACACCAATTGCAGTTTTCTCCTTTGAAACCTGCCGAAAAACCTTATCACCAAGACTTAATACAATGACATTATGGGCTTTTTCGACCATCATTGTCTTCTATTTCTCCGTCGGGGCAGCGCCCATCTTCTCCGATCCTTTCAAAGCTTCTAACAAACCTTGTTGATCAAGAAGGATTTGCATCTTCAAGCGCCACAAACCGAAATCATTCATACCGCTGAATTTCTCAATCTCATACTTTGTTTACGACATCTTCTCCTCCACACTCACTGCACTAGTTTATTATGAATTGATGTCGTCAAGAACAAAACAAAATATGAGAAAAAGATTGAGTTTCTTGGACAAACACAAGAAACCCTATTAGGTTTTACAAAAGATAGAGAAGAAGGAAGAAGAAGAATAAGAATTGATTAGAACTGTTTTTATATTCACTTACTTAATAAGGGTTCAAAGGTTACAAGTGAATAACAACAATTAACTTCTCTCAATAATCTGAGAGAACTAGTCTATTTATAGACTACTAAGCTAACTTATATTACAAGCTAACTTAACAATTAGGCTTACAAGCAAGACCCAATTCAACACGCTAACTTAAACACAAAGTTAACATATTTCGACAGTAATGCTTGAACAGACTTCGACTACATCATGTACAACTCCTTTCGAACTATGAAACTATACTTGTCAACACTAGAGTTCAATCCAAAAATCACAAATTACAAAGAAGAATTTGATGTGATAGAGTTCCTTACTCCTCATTTTTTTTTCTTTTTAATTTTGTTCTCGTCTTATTGAAGGATTGAGTGTACCGCAAATTAAATTTCTTTTACGATAAAAAAACTATCATATTAAGTGTACCGCAAATTAAATATTTTATTATTTCATTTTTTCATAATATAAAACAACTATTTTCCCTCTAAAATTATACAATTGCAATACTTGCTTTTTATTGCAAACTTTTAATGAGGTTAATATTCTCCTAAGAGCATCTTTAATGGGAGCAACTAAATTGAATGAATTAAGTTATTTTACGTGGGTCCAAATTGACATGAAGGATTTAAGCAATCCAAAATTGAATTATGAAGTTTTTACTTCAATGGTGATTGTTTATAAGCAATTCAAATTTGGTATTATAAAAATCTATTATTTATGTTAAATAATTAATAAAAATCTATTATTTATGTTAAATAATGAGTTAGAGTAAGTTGCTTGTATAGAGCACGTAAACTAGTTTTAGAGCATCTCATATGCCATGTCAGCTCTACTATAATGCAAATTCCTTATTACTAACGTAAGCTATACAAAATTTTAGTTTAACAACTATACATTAAAGTTGCTCTAATCTATGTTTTTTTAAAAACAATAAAAAAAATGTTCGAACTCAATTAATAATTATATATATGAAGGTAGGATGTATTGGGTGTAGGGGCGTTGGACTAGCTATTTAATTAAAAAAAAAAATTTAATATGAGCACTTAAGTTTAATGTATGTTTTTATAATCAAAGTTTAATGTATGTTTGAGAATAAAAGAAGAAACAAAAAGTGCGAAATGAAAGTAATTTGATTTGAAATGCTGAAGTACGTAAACTTGGTAGCAAGTAGAAGCTTTCCGTTATTCATTCTCAACCAATTCCGAACTTGAGGCTTGAAAGACTCAACAAACAACACGCCACATATAAACCATAACTCGTTCAACGCAACTCGCTCTTCTCTCTCTCTTTCTTTCATTGCAACTCTTTCTCTCTCACTCCTTCCTTCCATTCCCATTTCCATTTCATCCATGGCAGGGGAAACCGAATCCTTCGTCGATAAGATAGAAGAGAAATTTCATGACCACAACTCCGATTCAGATTCATATTCCGATTCCGATGACGACAATAAGAAGAAGCCACCCGCATTTTCCTCTAAAGTCAAGAATGTTTACCGTCTCTTCGGTCGCGATCGTCCCGTTCACAAGGTCTTAGGCGGTGGAAAACGTACGTCGTAACTCCTTTTACTAACGTGTCGCTATTTTCATATTTTTACGTTCATCGTGATTTTTTCTTTTTATTTTCTGATTTGAAAAGTAACACAAGAAATGTTTGATTTAGATTGAATTTATAAATAATCGTCAATCTTACTATGGTTAGAGAAATTTACATATTATGAATGTTTGATTTAGATTCAATTTGGTTTCTGATTGCATTACATTCAATAAGGTTTTAAATAATATGATACTGATTGCAGTGATCACCGTGTGAATTAACCACATTTTCTCATTTTTTTCATAAAATCAGTGAGTAACTATATCTATATCATGATATCAACACCATCTGATACAGTTTTGTCACTGCGGTTTTTGCAATAACAGCCAGTTTTAAAACCTTGCACTCAATACAAAATGTTGTATTCCTTGAACGAAAAGCTAGTTTTGTTGTTTTGCAAAAATGTTGCCATAATTGGTTCTTAAACCAATTATCCCTATCAAATGGTCACAGAATGTTGGTTGTTGCCATAAATTTTAGTAGGGAAAACAATGAAACAACAGTTTGCTTCACATTGAAAGGATGAGTTTCTTATAGCATTACATTACCAATTGAAAATGTAAAATATGTTTCCTATGTTACATTTCTTGCAGCTGCGGACATTTTACTATGGAGGAACAAGAGATGCACAGGAATGGCACTCGGTGCTGGCACTGCATTGTGGGTTTTCTTTGAGTTGATGCAATACCACCTCATAACTCTTATTTGCCATTTAATGATTTTGTCTCTTGGGGCCCTTTTCTTGTGGTCTAATGCTTCTGTCTTTATCCACAAGTAAGTAACCCTTTCCAAATTCTTACAGTACTTTTCTGTTTTAGTGTGTCCTTGTTTACAATAAGGTGAAATTTGGGTATATCTTATAATACTGTCTATCTTAATTTATGCACTTTCATGTGGTGTTTGACAATTTTACAACTAGATCTCCACTGCAAATCCCACATATTCAAGTTCCTCAGGAAAGAGCTCTTGAGGTTGCTTCTGTTCTGAGAGTTGAAATTAACCAAATGTTCACTATTTTGCGGGACATTGGAACTGGGAGAGATATTAAGAAATTTCTTACTGTAAGTTCATACCTCCCTTCATCCTTGTGTGAAGCTATGGTTTCCTTTAATTTTGTGAGAAATTGAGTTTTAACTTGAATAATGTCCATGGTTTTAAATTGCGGTTGTGATTACAAAGCAAATCTTTATATTTTGGCAAATTATGGCTGATTCAGTCGAATGCAATACTGTTGCAGAGACCTCAAAATCTGTTGCATTACAGACGCAATTCCAGTTGCAGACCAAAATTTAAAACCATGATCGTGTCCATTCATATAAGCTTTTTTTTTTTTTTTTTTCATTTTGCAAAATACTTTAGATTGTCAATAGGACTAACGTGTTTTTTGTCCTGTTATCAGGTTGTTGCTGGATTGTGGGTTATCTCGGTTATCGGCAGCTGGTTCAATTTCTTGACATTGTTTTATTTATGTAAGAGTCCATGTTTCACTAACATTATTCTTCTCAATGTCACCAATTTATAAGTTTAATGCCTAAAAGGCTTTCTTTTTCTTCATGATATTCTATTAACAATGTGTCCATTTTGTGAAATAAATGCAGTCTATTTATCACTCTTCACATTGCCACTGGTGTATGAGAAACATGAAGACCAGGTTGATGCACTAGCTGAGAAAGCAATGATTGAGATCAAGAAACAGTATGCAGTGCTTGATGCTAAGGTTTTGAGCCAGATACCAATTGCTGGGTTCAAAAAGGATTAGAATACATTATTATCTCTCAGGATTAGCAATTTTGTTCAGATGTCAAATTTACTGCATCGTGTCTTCTCTTTGGATTTATAGTTTTAGGAATAAAAGTCCTACTAGTCCCAGCTTTATTTTTAGGTTTATCTTGAGTTATTTATCAGTAGCCTTAAATTAAATGTCAAAGCATCCGCATTTTGTTTTACACATTGACTTCATGAACTTTTACTCCGTGTCATCTAATGAAGTGATTGCCATGTTTACTTTACTTTTTATTTTTATTTTTAAATGCTGGATACAGCTGTTAAATGGACTAATTTATATGAGCTGGTACGTTCGGCCCGAAAAATTATAGAATTTGAGTCATAAAATTAAATTCTTTATTTTGTAGGATTTTTGTAGCCCAATCCTAAAATATCCGCTACCCATTAGGGCTGAACCGCATGGGTCGTGGATAGCCTATTAGGCCTACATAGTTATAAAATTTAAAATAATTATATTAATACTTATATTGTTTTACTCCAAAATAATATATTGATTTTTCTCAACTCACTAAATTTTATCTCTATTTCATTCAATCTTTTTCTTTTAAAACTTATCCTTTAGTATAATCAATGTTCTTTCCTCGTATTCTATTAATTTCTTTTATGTTAAATATTCGAGTATTATTTTATACAATTTAGACATATATTGTATTTAAAAATACATTATAGTATTTATAAAAGATAATATAGTACTTAAAAATGTATTATGTTTAAAATGATATAATTTTTTTATTTCATTTATAATAAATATTATTAGTTTTTATTTTTATTTTTTATTTTAAAACCCGCTTAGGGCCGGGTAGTTCGAAGCTCATCTAGAGCCGAACTCGGATAGTAAATTTTGAACACATATTACAACAGGGTTTTTTTGACTCAGCCCTAAAAAGCCTGAGGTCCGCTAGGGCCGACCCGTTTAAGACCGAATAGCATATTTTGACAACTCTATCTACTGCCATGAGGTGATCAGTTAAGGTCTAAGGAGTTTGAATACAAACCCCTACTGAGATAAGACTAGCGGTGACAAAATGGATCCGTCAGTCCCGCCCTACCCGCCGTAAGCCTGTTAAAAAAGAGAGGGGCGGGCAAGTCCGCTATGTGAAATTGGACTTAAAAATCAAACTCTTCTCACCAAGGTGAACGATTGGCAGGCGGCGGGCTTGCCTGCCTATGATTTTTTTCTTCCTTTTTTGAATAGATCATAAGCCTTTTTTTTTTTACATTTCAATTAGAAATCATAAAACCAACAATTAGCAATCATAAAATGGGAGCTGAAAGCTTAAAACCATCAAGAAATTTCACCTAAAATAAAACCATCAAAAAGAGTTTCAAAATTATTGTTCAAATATTAACCTTCAATAAAAGAAAAATAAATATTTTGAGTGCTTGATAACTAAGCTAGCAGACCAACCCGCCCCTTTTTGAACAAGTTTAAGGCGGGACGAGATAAACGGGTAGGCAAGCATATAATCATAACCCAACCCTCTATTTTTCTACTAGTGCGCAGGTCGGCCCAGCAGGCCACAACTTGTTTTGCCACCCCTAGATAAGACTAAGTCATTTATGACTTAGTCACCTAAGTAATAGATAGAGGAAATAAGATAAATAAACAAGCACACATTGACTTGTTGACAAAAACCCTCCATACATTGGGTGTCATTAAAAAGAAGCACGAAAGTGTGTTATTCAATACCACGAAGGGCAGGTACACAAAAGTCCTGAGGGCATAAATATAACAAGCAGACTATGGGTCGAGGGAATCTCTCGTCTTCTCTTGGTCACCACCATCATAGAGTTTTTCTTGCTCTACACAAGCAGATTTTGGGCCAATGGAATTTCTCGTCTTTAGAGAAGGGTTGATTAGGGATGCCATATCTTGCTCGCCATCCTTGACCAACTTGAACAAGTCAAGCCCTATAGGTCCAAGCTATAATGAAAGAAAGCTATTAGCTCCTTAATCCGCTCAAAGTAATAGTCAAAGATCTCCATCAACTCGTCTTTGGAGCGGGACATGACTGTTAGCTGGGATTTTCGACAAAGGAAAAAACCTCAGCATAAGTCAAAGCTAAAAGGTATATGGACCTTTGATGACATGTACGTTGTTGAAGTCTCAAGAGAATGAAAATGGGACTTAGTATTTTTGAGGACATTTTGATGTTAACATTTTTGACAACATCAGGCGCGTCGAATTGACAATTATTTGGCGCGCAGGTGTTCTGTTCAAATACAAGTAACTGTTTCTTAGTTTCATCCTGAAGGATACGTGGAGGAAACACATAAGTGAAATGCATGTAGACTTCTACATGGCGAAAGTTGAAGATGTGAACATTAGAGAGCAGTTATTTAATACTAGCATAAATAGGGATTTTATTGTTGGGATTTGGGGTGTTCATTTCATTACAAAATTTCACTTACACTCAAGTACTAGCATTAGAGAAACGAGTTTTTATTGAGAGAATGTATGAACCTTTAAACACCACTTTTACTTTAATGCAAAGCTTTTCATTTCATTTTACAATTTTTGCCCACTTACTTTCATCTTTAATTAATTTCCTTGTCATTTTACCTTTGTTTTCACCACATTCATATGGTTTTCTACTGTCAAAGTTACCTTCGTATCTTTTTCATAAGAATTTCGGCTAATTCAGAATCTCTTTCATTTCTATCAAAATCATAGTAGAAAACTATTAGCGTTATGTCATAGGATTCCCTAGTTGGTCCTGCAAGTAACCTTTAATAAGAGACTAGTGGTTGTTTACCAAATTTCACTATAAACAAATTGGCTTGCCAAGTGAGACATGTGCTAAAGCATTTATCTTTAATATATATATTTCATAATTTTCTCTTATAAGTTTGTTATATATACATGATTTGTTTTGAGTAGTTTGTATGCAATTAAGAAGCAGGGAGTCTTTACCCAAGATGTCGCGTCCTCCTATAGATAACATCAATTCACAAAACAATCCCTAAAATGTAGTAAAATAACCAGTCGGGTCAACAGTTGAAGAGCCAATTATCTCAACACCTGTTAGGACAACGAATCTAGTGGTGTCAACGACACCAGTCACACAGTACCATCACAGGGCGCAACACCCTCACCACAACCAAGGAATACTCTTCTTAAACCTACAGTTGCAAGACCTTTATTTGGGTTCTCAATGCCAATGAGTGGTAGAGATTACCCATATCGTATGCCCACGTTGATGATGGCAAACCTTCATACTAATATTTAAACTTTTAGTGACAACACAATAGCCACATGACCATCATACAATCCATATAATTCCTCGGCTTCGACCATTAACAATATGGTTCGACCAGGAGGGATAAGTTACATCCCACAAACCACGTTATCTTTAAATAATACCTTTATGATGGCTATGAGGCAACAGGTGAATGAGAGTAACTTAGAATTAGTTAATACTATTATCCAACAAATGGAACCATTTTTAACACTTCGATTACAAACATAAACCAGACCTATGAATTGTTGGCTAATCAAATGGGTCGAATTGCTGACTTCTTTGGCACGCCTCAAGCGTAGGCATGACTAACCCCTTAGATATCTAACATTAGCCAGGTCGAGACGCTTGAGAATTGGATGGACCAGGCCATTGCAGTCTTGAACTGAGGGTTTCGACCACCAGAAGCTCCCCCAAATAAGGAGGAGGAAGAATACATATGAAAACATAACCCTGGACCTTTGGTAGTCTAAATAAATCAAGATGTTGACCAGGTGCTTAGACACGTCCAACAAAACAACTTTGGGGGGCATAACAATATAGAAAATTTGGTCGAACAGATTTTGGCTCAAAACGGCCTGAATGTGGAACTTCACATGCCTAACTTCATATCACCTTGATCAGAATATGTTCGACAAACAGAGTTACCCATGGGTTAGAAAGTACCAAAATTTACTAAATTTACTGGAGACACTAGTGAGTCGACAGTTGAACATGTTGCCAGGTATCAAGCTGAAGTTGGTGACATTGCGAGTAATGAGAATTTGAAAATGAAGTATTTCCAAAATTCTTTAAACACTCTGTTCAAACATGGAGTCACCTGGAGAGATTTTTCCATGAACAATTTTACATGAGACAGTAGAAAATTAGTTTGAAGGAGTTGGCTAGTGTTAGGAGAAAGGTTCCTAAGTTGATTGATGATTACCTAAATAGGTTTAGACTTCTCAAGGCAAGGTGCTTCACTCAAGTGTCGAATATGAGTTAGTCGAAATAACTGCTGGTGGCCTTGATTATTCCATTAGGAAGAAACTAGACATTCAATACCTTAGGGACATGGCGCAATTGGCAGATAGGGTTCGCCAGGTCGAATGCTTGAAAACTAAAAAAGCTAGAATGAATAAGTATCACAAAAAAGAAAAAGTTGCTTATGTAGAGGCAAATGATTACCTTTCAGATTTCGGTGACGAATGCATCGAAGAAGGTGAGGTCAATATGGTTGAACTTAATCTAGGACCTCCTCATGTATGTAACTTGTTGAAACCATCGAACATGAAAAATCATGTCGAGCCCCGCAAGAATGACAAGTTTACCACTAGGACTTATACTTTCGATATAACAAAGTGTGACGAAATATTTAATTTGTTAGTCACAGATGGAAAAATAATAGTGCCTCTGGGCCTAAAAAATTCTCCATTAGAATAGAGGAAGAAGAAAGGTTTTTGTAAGTACCATAATTTCCTAGGTCATAAAACTTCTCAATGTGTATTTTTCAGGGATTTGGTGCAAAACGCTCTTAAAGAATGCATGCTATAATTTGGTGAGAATCCAAAATCATTACTAAAGGTGGATTCAAACCCCATGCACACGGAGGACGCTCACTATGTTGAGCCTGTTCAGATTATAATGGTCAAAGCTACTGAAGGCTTCAACATGTAGGTCGAAAAAGGTGAGCAAATCTCTGTTGTTTCTGATTCTAACATGAAAATGGTGTAACCCCAAGCTGAGGAGGGGTTGA